CTAACACTTTACTTTCCAGTCCTGCATAAAAGACTCTCTCACTCCTACCAGAAGCTAATAGACATGAAGGAGGAGCAAGATGGGCAACCTGACCCAGAATGTTTAATTACCATCCCTTCTTCATTGCTTCCCGGTTGTTTGAACTTGACAGCTCCTACTGGACAAAGCACAAACTGTTCAATAGGAGATGAAGTGGGTAAAGACTTGCTTGGATTTCTGTACACAGAGAATATCAGAATGAATTTAGGAGCTAACAATCCTTTTCAGGATAGCAAATAAAGCAAGAATTTAATAGCAGATGCTAAATCTGAAATGGCATGAGCCACAGAGAGTAAACCAGAGACTGAGGTTATAGGACTGATTTTTGGATGCAGTTTTTCTGTTTTCTTGAGAAAGGGAGGGAGAAGGAGGTAAGAACTGAGGAGATGGACAGTGGTCAGGGTAGATCAACACCCTGATGATCTGGAGGCAGGCACACAGAGTTAGCTTGGGCCAGACTAGGTCACACAGTCCAGGTTACACTTTATATATAAGAAGGCTACTCTGCCTGGTCTTTTTCTTGCCCTGTGCTTGCATAGAACACATTATGAAAATTCCAAAGCATGCTTATAATAATTAATGTCTCGTGATGTTAATTGATGTTAAGTCAATCTGTTGTTTGTGTTTGGAATTGGGATAGCTGTCATACTTTTTCCAAGAGCTAGGGAACCTGTGGTTTGAGAAGTTTGGCACTGTAGGCACTTCAAGGAGAACTTAGGGCAATACAGATACAGCCAAAAATTCAGGTATGAGTCTGTGATGCCAAACTTACATAGCTTATTAGCATATAAAGGGTGGCTTACAATTAAACCATTACATTTAGAGTATTTCAAGGAAGAGAATTTGTCCAGTACCAGTTGATCCAACATGACTGATCATAGCAGTCAACTTGTTTTTACTGAACAGTGAGGTTGTCATGGCAAAGCACAGTGGTACAATAAAACAAGGCCCTCTAATTAAGTCAGTGATGTCTGGATGCAAGAATCTCAGTGTAACAAAGTTTAGGACAGTCTCTGGAATCCCTAGAAATTTTTGTCAAATTATTCTTAATTTGTTAAAATATAATATGTATGTTTCTATTATGAACAAAATTGATGTGGATAGTGAGTCAATATGTAATAAGGATAGAAATATGATGTTTTCTTCTCCTTAGAAGATTAAAAAGCGTGTCTTTTATTGTGCTGCTACTGCAATGAATAAGCAAAGAAATGTATTATTTCTACATAATTAATTTTTGGATGGGCTGTTTTGACTGAGTGTTCCAGAATTCATAAGAAACAGACTTGTTGGCCTCGTCTTGCAGTACTCAGAATCTGGAAAACATATTTGCATTTTGAACTTGTACAGATGATATGAAAGTGCAGCACATTTGTCACTCTTTGGAAGAGGTATCTTTGTTTAATTTTTTTTATTATTATTTTTTATTCCAATAATTACGTCCTTGTTATGTTCTGTCTGTCTAGTTTGGTGTGATTCCCATTTGCTTAGTTCACATCGAATCAGAATAACATTAGTTACACTAATGTAGGTACATAATGTGACTAAGAGAATCAACTGTATGAGTGCTTTCATAAGGATTTATGTGCTGGAGACAGTAGGATATGTAGGAAGGAGCATAGCAGAGTAACTGTGGCTATCCTATTCAGACTGTCCCTACATCATTTACCCTGTGTCGGGAATTTGAAGTAGGCAGCCCTCATTCCTGTCACTTTGTGTCCTTCTTTGGCCTTCTAGATGAAGACATCTGAATTTAATGTTGCCTCTTGTGTATTTTCTGCAGTCTTCATGTAGAAGCCTCCCATATTTAATTGGAAAATCATTGCAGTAATCTTTTCAGAGTTCTGGATTTAATTTTCACTGTAGGACAAAAATAACAGGAAACCTAAGATTCTCACTCTTTGAAGTCTGGAGTGTATTGTGGAAGTGTTAAGTTTTTACTGAATGTGTCAGTGGTTCATAAGCCTTTGCAGGAATCAGGTATTCTTAGATGATAGAAAAATTGGAATGTACTTATCCCTAACCTGATTTACTTGTTTTTCTGAAGGCAGTGATAGATATCTCTTGGTCTAAAGGTAAGTTTACCAAAAAAAGATAAGTTAACCAAACTATGCAGATAGCTAAGAGACTAATAATAGGGTTCACTTAATACAGAGCTCCCAACGGGAATGAGCAGTCATCTGCTGAATGTCAAAACACCTCATCAATCAGAGGGACGTTGGCATAAGGCAAACATAGTACTGCTGTTAGCCTGTAATTAATTTTCAGTTGTTTAATGAAACAGTTAGTCCTTGACTGATTGCATGGCTTTGCTGCAACTTCTACGTTTTCCAGCTTTAAATGAAATTGTTTATGAGACTAGATTAGTGTGTTATCCTCCCTGCAATGCTGTTTCACTGAACCACCAGAGGTCAGAGCTGTACTGCTAAAGTACATGGTTAAAAATCATCTAGGAAGAAATCCCTTAAGATATTGCCAGAAGTAATAATCTTGTCTGAGACTTCTAAATTGTGGAAATTTAGAATATGTTTTATAATTCAGTTAATATTAAATAATCTGTTGTATTTAATACTGGTGAAGTAGGCCAATTTGGCAGGGATATGGTTAGTGACAAAAAATATCTAATCTCTTTTTAATTCATATATCTCTAAATTTCTATTACATTGCTGTTGCAGTTTTGGTTCCAGCTTTGTGATTCCATTTTATACACTGGTTATTTAAATGTCTACTTAAAGAAGATCAGAGACAGGTATAAAGAGTATTTCTTAGTTCTGTAGAACAAGGGTTAATTCCAGTCATGTCACCTTCTCAGCAATGTTTTGAAGGAATGGGTTACAATGGTAATGGTTTGTAATCCAAAGGATGGGCAAGGTCTTTGAAATAACATTTCACACACAGTCCAGGGACTTTTCCACATTACTTGCTGATTTCATAAGAACTGATTTCATCTTGTTATGAATAGCTAAAACACAGTGCATGATCAGTACTTTGTTAATATTTTATTCTGCTCTTTAATAGTGTTCCTTTTGTAAAATCCATGCATGCTAAAACAGGTTGACATGTGACATCTGACATGTGTGGCTCTGCAGCAGTGAAGCTGCAAAACCACAGACTGAAGGGACCATGGGAGAGCCAGAAGACTGAATCGGAAACTGAAAGCAAGAGGTTTGAAAGGTCTGATAGTGTTTGTTTTTAACATTTTTCATAGGGTGAAACCTCCCTCCTCCCCTAAATTTTTGAAAAAGTCAATAATTTAAAATATCACATATGCAGTTATGTATTTATCCAGAAAAACTAAGATTTTTTTCCCATGATAATTGGCTTCATTATTCTTCCAGAAATCTTGCACTTACAGAACTTGATTGAATTCGAGCAATGGAAGTCGTTGTTATGTTTCCAAGCGCTCTGATACCAATATTTGCAGGAGAATGCAATGTGATGGGTTTGTACATTTGTCAATAGTCTCTAGCAAAGGAAATCCCTTTGGCTATGTACTGGAATTTGTTTTCAATTTGTCTTAGTGAACCGAAGTTGGGAAAAGTAACGTGGACTCTTAAAATTTTCACAATATTGTAAGATGGTGCAGAACAAACATATCTATCTCTGTCAGCATGAAGGGTGATATATATTGTGATTATTTGCTACCATAAACTTTATTTAACTTTTGCTGTAGCACACTGACAGTCCAGGATAATTTCATTTGTTTTTTGTCAAGCCTGGCTGAGCAACCCTGTGTCTCAATATGAACAAACTGCCATTTTGAAACCTCAGTTGTTTTAAGTCTTTTAACGCTTACATTTTATTTGTCCCATGATGCTGTCTTTCAAGACACCCAATTAAAGAAGAGTTACTTATTCAGTACATCTTTGTCCTACTACTTATGCCAAAATAAATATCAAGAATTGCTTCTAAATACTAGTCATGTGTAGATGATGTAGCTGATAGCCTCAGCAATCTCATACACCTTCCTGCATGTCATAAGCTTTCTGAAACTAATTGGTTACACAGTATTTGGCAAGAGTTGGGGTAATGAGGCTCTAAAGAGTGAAGAACGACAATCTTTTTCTCTGTTGGGATGGGCTGGTGGATTATGATGGTCTCATGCTGGATATCCAGAGGCAGTTCTCTACGGAGAATTTCAAAGGTGTCCTGCTCTAAGAGGAAATTCTTAAATGTTGTCATCCCACTTGTAGCACAATGTAGTCTTGCCAAATGGATGTTAGTCTTTCAGGCCTTAGACCTTTCCTCTCTTAAGGGGTAATGAGAAGCAGACTTCGACCCTCCTTATTGCAATTGTCCTTGGCAAGGAATTCTGGGCCTTAATAGCACTTTTCTTTATTGCATTGCCAAGTCCCAGAATGAGGCATAGTATATGTGTATTGTGGATCCTTTGCTGACTAACATCTATGTTGGTCCCAACCAAGAAGGCAAGCCTTAGAAACCATGGAAGTGTGTCTGATGTGGATGAAAGTAATAAAAAAATCAAAGCAGTAGGAGCTTCAGGAATATGAACGTCCAGAGGCAGCATGTTAAGACACACTGTGCTCAGTAACTGCCCATGTGAGAGCATCTATGGGCTGAGGTTATTCACTGTGTGTGGCCTATATGACATGCTAGAGAGATGTGTGGGTAACTTCCAGGCTCTGAGAGATAGATCCTGTGCACAGGTCTCTGCCACCTAATTGGCATCTGGCCCAAGGTCACTCTGGTTTGGAAGGTGGTGAGTTTACTATCCTGCTATCACCATGCTATGCCACCTTGCTGAAGGGCCAGAGCAAGTGCTTTGGCATGACCATTTTTCTAGTGGAAACATATTGTAATCATATTAGGCAGAGCTAAATACCTAAGGATGTTTCATGAGTGCCAACTGTGGTGGTTTCACCCACCTGCCCCCCCCTCCCCTCCCCGCCAGGGCTGGAAATGGTTAATCCCCAGTAAGTTTCAGATGTAGGACCACTGGAGAGCTGTTTCGCCCCTGTGCAATTAACATACCACAACAGCGGGAAGGGAAGCTGTTGGCATAGTTGGAAAATCGGGCAGCCATGTAAGTGCCGAGGGGAGTCCCCCCCAAGTTTGGGGGAGCCCCTGGGCCCCGCTGCCCTGGCCCAGCCAGGACTGCGGGAGTTTTTCACCGTTCCCCCCACACACACTGCCAGTGGGGGCAGCGGCACAGCCCCGAGAGGCCGGCCGGGGCTGGAGCTGGGCCCCCGGCGGGCAGGCATGGCATTGGAGCAAGAGAGAAACTCCTCAGGAGTTTTCCAGCCGGCGTCACCGCGGGGTGGTGAGGAGCTGGCTGGGCCCTGCAGCAGCCACAGAGTAGCCTGGGACAGGCTGGAGCGGCAGCCGTGCTGCTGGTGCGGCGGCGATGGCCTGGGGCCGTCTGGCCCTGGCCCGGGCTGATGAGCCCTTGTGAACAAGCGGCGACAGCAATGCGCAGACAGCACAGAGCAGAGCGGGCCTAGAATATGGCACAGAGCTAAACCGAGCAGGTTTTTCTGGGAAGAGACTCTAATGAAATTTCGGGGTATATAAAAGACTGCGCAAAAGCTAGAAAAATCCTGCGACCGGGGGGGGAAGAACAGATCCAGCACAAAGGAGTCCTTGAACCTTATCCCCCGGGAGGAACCCCACGGGACAGGAAAAAAAGTCTCAAAAGCTTTAATTCCTTGACTGTGGCAAAGACCTGGTGAGACGAGAGTTCCCTCGAAACCCAGGAGGAGCTGCTCGACAGAGGCCGAGCAGTCGGTGGGAGTGCAGCCCGACCCCCAAAACCCCGATCGAGAGAGAGAGACTTTAACTATCGCTCTGAAAACTTCTCCTGAAATGATGTGGGAGGATCCAGGGGTGGTAGAAATTGTATTAATGGTCTGTATTTATTTATTCTTTAGTTTAAGTTTCTTTAGTTATAGTTTTCATACTTAAAATTGTTGTATATATATATGTATAAAATATTTATTGTGTTAGTGATTTTAATAGAATTCCCTTCCCCCATACTGGGTTGTATCTGTCTGAAAATTTCTCTCACTCCTGAACAAATTGTGGAGAAGCTTGGAAATTGAATTTTTTGGGGTCAAACCTACTACACCAGCATATTGACTGGGAAATCATATATGCTACACTGTTGAAACTGTTGTGAACAGCAGTGTTGCTAATCATAGCTTTTCCCACCTTTCTCTGCAGCAGGATTATTGCCCAGGAATTCCTCTGAAGGTAGAGCCATAGTAACAAAACTAAGGTGACATCGGTCCTTGCTCTCAAAAGATAATCAAATTAGATCCACATTTTTCATTCCTTTCTCTGGAGTTTTTCCTCACTTTCTTCCGTGTTCTTTTCTCCTATCTGGTTTGAAGAACCTTTTCTTAGTAATGAGCAATGGCCCAATTTGAATAGAGCTACCAGAAATAGTTCAAATTTTCTGCGCTCTCCCCTCACACTGTCTTATGCTAAAAACAGACATTTTTCTAAACATCCTAAAGCTGTGGGTAAGGGATTCTCTGGAATAGCAAGAACAGTGTCTTTAATTATCCAAGCAAGGACTTAAATGTGCATCATATACATCTTTTCTAATCACAATAATCATTGTGCAACCACTAATGGTGGAAAGAGGGACACTTCATTCTCCTTTATGGAGGGATTGATTCCTCTGCATACGCTCTGAGCATGCCTCAAAGTCTGAGCTCTTAAGGTAATAGGCCTGGGACTGGAGGAACACTTTACCTGGTTTATGCATGAAATAGGTGCTTAGTTTTCAGAGCTGTCAGGAGTACATTTCTTCTGAGAACTACCAGGTGCAGCATTCTAGGCATCAGGTGAGCTCTGGTATCAGAAACTTGGCCAGCTGCACAGTTTCTGTGCAGGTTGAACAGATACCAAATGGTGATTTTGCTGAGCTTCACTTCCAGTTAACATGCCTGAAATGGCATTTGGGACTCATCTACGGTGAGACTCAGGGACTTAAAGGAAATCTGGATGATGTTATTTAATGCTAATTTTAACTGTAGTAAAATTAATAATGGATCAATAAAGTAGCTGACAGCAAGGTCCTTCATTTTTTTCTCAAACTCAGAAAGACTGCCATTATGTTATAATTCTCTTTGCATGCCTCAAAATTTAGAAATTCTCAATATTTCTCTGTTTTAAGTCAATTTAAAATGGTATTCAGTATAAATATTATTCTTTTTTTATAAAGAAGTAGTTCTGAAAAGAAGTCAGATTAAAAATTGCTAAACTGACAGAGCATGGAAAAAATCACCTGGTGAGAAGGCCAAGTGTCCTTATGATGTAACTATGTCTTACATATCAGATCATAATTTTATTTGAGAATATATGTTTCTTTCCAGCTGTTGGCAGCTTCTGCTTTTCAGCTTTATGAGCCTCAAGTGTGTCTGTTAAGAAGAACATTGACTCAAAGCCATTTTCTTTTTGTTTCTTTTCAGATAGAGTCGAGTCACTGTATCTGCTTTTTGTGTAGAAAATCCAGAAAGCTCTCCTATGGGAATTTGCTTCCTTTTCATTTCAGATTTTTATTTTCTTTCTTTGATATATTATTTGTGTACAGTATGCTATAAATAATAAAACAAAAACTTTGAACTGATACTGAAATCTAGAGTATTTGGACCTTTCTTACAAGAACACAGCAAATGTGTTCCATATGTTAATGAAAAGTTGGCTTGTAATTCCTGTTTATATGTTAACATAAATGTCTTACCAAAACTAACAGCTACTCCTCATAATTTTAAGGACTTTTTTACTATAGGTTTCGTTTCAGTCCTGGAAGAGTGTGTAGCCAGGTAGGCTAACTGAAGAGACCACTAGCCCAAAGCCCGCTGCCTTAAAAGAAGCATAGTGCGCCTTTCACTAACCTGGGTCTCTCCACAATTTGAGATCCTTTTTTGTTTTGCTGCAACTGTTAATTACTATGTCCAGGACAAACTGCTGCCTTGGGAACAATACACTTTTTGACTTTACAGATCATACATGTTCATATGTTTTCAACACAGTGGTGCTTTTAGTTATTGTCTAAGCTCTTGGTGTGTCACGGCTTCTGGTGTGTGTAAGGGCAAGAAATGGACATTTCTTGTTTTAGACTTGTTCTACAACTGTGGAAAGGTGGACTTGATACCTGAGGACATCCGATCTGTTGCTATATTTCTATACATTTGTAATCTCTATGGAATTCCAGACAGGATATGTTATTTCTGTTTAAAATTCTTATGCATATTTGAAGATATCATTCAAGTATTTGTATCTCCAAGAACCCAAGATGGGAATCATGCCCAGATTATAGTCATCTAAGATTCTGTGTCTCAAAAGAAGTTTCCACATTTACATGAGGTGCCTTAGATGCTGATATAGTAAAGAGAGATCAATATAGGGAATAGAGTGGGATTCAGTTCCATGAATTAACCCAACAGTCTTAAAAGATTATTCAGCTGATCATCTGTAGGTGTCTCTTTTAGGATAGACTGGATCTCTCTATAAGCTCAGTTGATTATGTAGATGGGAGGAAGATTTTGTTTCCTAAGCATATGAGTTTAATGTCTTTTTTGGTGGTCAGGGTACACTCCTGGAATTCAGCTGCTGCTCCACATTTTTCCCCCAAGTCCTGTGACATAGCTTCTGGCTCTGTGCAGAGGTTTTGCATTGTCCATGACAATGGAAATCCCTCTTAAGGCTACTGAATCCCACTCTAGGTCTGGTGATATCAAAATATCATTTCCAAAGTCTGACACTGATCCACACTTTGTCCTTCACTGTTCTGCTAATCATGTCTCTGTTAATCTACCTCAGATTTTGTCTTATGCACAAAGCGTTATGCACTGGTCCTGCATGTATGTTTTAAACTTTATGTCATATAAGTAATCCAGTCCTGGGTTTAAGTTCACAGTAGTACTCAGCCAGTTAAACATACTGATAAAGTTTTTAATTAGAAGTTTGAATAAAAAATTGTATAATTCTCTTTACAAAATGCATTATGAATAGTATAACATAATTTTTCAAGTATTACTGTATTTCAGTTATTTGTGAAGCAATTCTTAATTGTGGTTTTGTGATCCTTCTAAATTAATGACATTGATGTAATTGTTATTTGCTTTAAAGAAGAGTTTTACCATAAATTTAATAATGTGAGTTATAAATACTGGATGTCCTTTCTCTTGACTTCATAACCTCATCTTTCAAGCAGCTCCAATATTATTCTGATACACACGGCAACTATCCAGTTCTGCAGATGCTATGAACAGGCTTAATTAAAAAACCTTATTCTTCTCCTCAGCAAAGAGTATTCTGAATGGCTAGACAAAAAATCAGATTTTGAAGTTGATCCAGCTGTAAGGTGGAGAATCCTCTGGCATTGACTTTTGCTATTTCTGTCTGAAACTAATGCCTTCTACAGTAACTGAGTTATATATCATTTTGTACAGCTACCAATTTCAAATTCAGCATTTACTATATCACACATGAAAAAGCATACAACATTTCATGGCACTAAAGGAGTGAGAATTCACAGTGAGGAATATATAGGAATGCCTCAAAAGAAGTTTATCTAGGTATTGGGTTGCCTTCTTGAACTTTAGAGACTTACAAGGAGTGGTTAGAGTATGTGGGGTTTAGGTTCATGTTTCTCTATAAAAAAGAGAAAACTTTAGATTCAGTTTTTATTTTAACATTTTGCTGAAGCTTTAGTTCAGTACTGATTGACACATACCAGATAACACTCAAATTATGCCACAGTCTAAGATGTCATAGGAAGACTCCTGGCACAGCAGGAAGGCTGAGGGAGACACTGCTCTTGCGGTCACAAGAAATAAAGGTTTATTCACTAGCTGTGGGACTTTACAAGCTATATACTCCTAACCTTCAATGCTTTCCTGTCCTACTCTGGTGGGTTGACCTTGGCTAGCTACAAGATGCCTATCAAGCTCCTTGGTCACTCCCTTTCCATCAACAGGATGGGGAAAAAAACGCAATGAAAAGCTTGTTGGTGGTCTGAGAACAGGAAAATCACTTACCAACTGCTGTCATGGGCAAGGCAGACTCAACTTGGCAAAATTAATTTAATGTATTGATGATTAAACAGAGCAGGATAATGAGAAATAAGAACAAATCTAAAAATACCTTCTCCCCACCCCTCCCTTCTCCCCAGGCTCAACTTCACTCCCAACTTCTCTACCTTCTTCCTCCCCAAGCTCTTCCCCTGTTCAACCTGGGGTCCTTACCCATAGGCTACAGTCCTGCATGACCTTCTCCTGTGTGAGTCACCCCCTGGTCTGCAATTTGTCACAAAATGCTCCAGTGTGGGTCCCTTCCACCAAGTGGAAGAGTTCTTCAGGAAGGAACTGCTTCAGTGTGGGTCCCTCACGTACTCATAAGTCCCACCAGAAACCCTGCTTCAGTGTGGGCTCCTCTCCACAGACTGCAGCTCCTGCAAGGAGCTTGCACCTGTGTGGGACGTCCATGGGCTGCAGCTTTCTTCAGGGCACATCCATGCTGCTCCAGTGTGGGGCCTGCCACAGGCTGCAGGTGGATATCTGATCCACTGTGATCCTCCATGGGCTTCAGGGGAACAACCTGCCTCATTGTGGTGTGCATCACAGGCTGCAGGGTAATCTCTTCTTGGGCATCTGGAGCACCTCCTTCCCCTCCTTTTTGACTGGCCTTGGTATCGGCAGAGTTGTTTCTCTCACACTTTCTCGCTCCTCTTTCCCAGATGCTGGTGTGCAGCATTTTCTACCCTTTCTAAAAGACGTTATCACAAAGGCATTGCCACTGTAGCTTATGGGCTCAGCTTTGGCCAGTGGTGCATTCATCTTGGAGCCAGCTGGAACAGGCTCTGTCCAATGTGGTAGAGATTCTGGTATCTTCTCATAGAAACCACCCTTGCAGCCCCCCACTACCAAAACCTTGCCACATAAGCCAAATACACTTACTTTGGACATGAATTAGAGGTTTATCTGCAGGAATATTCAGGACCTACCACTTGTTACTGAAATAGGAAGGTTTCTCTTAGTAAATATTTACAAGAGGAAAGTTAGTTTTATTAGTTGTATGTATGACTGCAGCCCTAAAGAATCCTGTGTTTCTGTCATGGCTACTCTGTGTCACTGGAAGAGTTATTTTCTGGTGGCCAGTACATAGTCAACAAGTGGCTGCTCAGTCTGTTATGGTTACTTTTATAGAAGTTCTAAGGATTCACAGCTGGATGGAAGTCAATGGAAGCTGTCTTTGAAGCGTCAGGTAATGCTCAATACAGCCAGGAGACAGATACAATTTCAGTTACAATAAATAACCATGACAAATTACCTAAAATGTACAGTTTTGTCTTCAGAGCAGTGTTGAACAGCCTACAATGAATAATATGTAAAAGTGAACACAGAGTAAACAAAACATGAAACAGTTTGGTCACTGCCTAGTCCTGACATAGCTAGTCCTGTGTAACAAAAGTGTTGCATAGAAAAGGACTGTTTTTATTAGCTGAAAGTGTTCTATTTTTACAGCTGAGTGGTACTGAAACAACTGCACTGAAATACAAGGTAAAAGAAATATGATTGCTGCAACTGATTGATGACACATAAAATACAGAGTTGAATTAACCAGTAAGCTTTGCCTCTTAATTTCAATGTTTCAGAGTTGTTCTAATTATCCAAAGAAAAAGCAGTTGAAAATGTACCCAGTAAGACATACTTGTTTCATGTTTCCAGTCATTATTTTAGAAAAAATCCCACTCTTTTCAGTCAGTCTCACTTTGAGAGAAAGGGCAACCTCTGTAAACCTGGAGAAAGTTACCCAAGCACTTAAATGGAAAGCTCAAAATTGCATGAAAGAATGGGAGAAGTTTCAGTAAAAACCAAGTTATGTCATTCCTTCATTATATGTCTGACTTGTCACTGATAGATTTTCCTTTCCTGCAGCCCCCTTGTCTGCCCAGCACAGTGCAAATAACATGTGCCTTGCATAGCAGATACAGTAGATATACTTTGGACAGATAAATGTTAAAACCATACCGCTTGGAATATAGTCTAGTTAGGGTTTCCAGCTAGAGTTTTCTTGCAAACCCAGCAAGAGGTGGACTAAATGGTTTAGGGGTTTTTTTTACAACTGCTCTTTCCTTGTTCCTTTTTCTCTTAAAATGAAATAGAGTAACATTTAAGATCTTTGCTATTTTCATTATTTTTTTCCTCTTCTACTTCTCTGTAAGTTTTTAAAATCTTCATTGGAAAAAATGGCAAAATGACAAATAAAAAAAGGGGGAAGAAAAAGAAAATATGTGGAAAACTTCTGAACTTTACTTACTCATTTGTATTCAGTCATATAAAGAGGAAAAGGCACTTCCAGTAATTAAGTTTCATACTTTCTGAAGACCTTTTGGTAGAGAGGTTGAGTAAGACAATGACTTTACACAATCTCTCATTATACAAAAAGAGAAAAAATAAGTATTTCTAGTTAGTCAAAGGGATGAAAGAAGTTCTGTGTAGCTGTTAGTAATGGCGGTCTAGATGCAAACTCTGGCTCAGCATGCCTCTGGACTGGTGATTGTGGGAAATGAAGAAAATATTATTAAAAGATGTCTCTATACTTACATTTTCCTTCTCTTTTCCTTAAAT